GAGCGATTTCAATCTCAATTGACATTGCATGAAACCCAGCAACAACGACGACGAAGGGAGAAAGAAGATGGAGCAGAACATGAAGAGGATGGTTTAGGATCTTCCTTGTCAGATAGCAGTGATGACAAAAGTGACGAGGACGACAGAGACGATCATGATCTAACAGACGATCCCAAGAAGAAGAAGAAGAAACAACAGAAAAAGAAGATCAAGTCAACAACGACAAAAAAGATCAAGAAAAAGGACCGGACAGTGCTGACCGTTACTCAATTTGTTCTTCAGATCGAAACGCTCACAAGGTGGCTTGACTTACAGGCGATCTTTTACTTCCTTCTTGACCCTCAAGCTCCCCGGAAACCTAGATATTGAATACTTATTATAGTCCCTAGTTTCTGTTTCTTTATGTCACACTTTTTTTCCCCCTATAATTAAACCTATTCCTCTTCTTTCCCCGGAGACTCTGTTTTTTGTATCTTTTGAGACTTAATTGGGTTTTGTTTCTTTTAATTTTTGTATGTATACCATTGCTTGGGTTTCTCTACCTTGCTTGACTCTTTTTGAATGTTGGGCCGGTGGTGTGGTGGTGAAATCATAGAAAGTGAATCTGATGATAAGAGACATGTTCCTGCTCAGCTCAGGTATGCTCAGTATTGGTATGGAAGCCCTGGACCAACACCCATTGTGCCACAATAAATCTTAAGTTTTGTCATCAGTCTCACTCAAACAGATTTGTACAGTCTCCTCCCAGATGTTTATAGCCATTTGCTTTGAGCTCCACATTGGGAACCCAAAAACTTCAAGTCACAAGAGTTTGTAGAATGGTGAAAAGTGGGTTTCAAAGAAAGAATATGAAATAATAATAATAAAAAAGAAGATTTTAAAATTTGTGAAAAAGATGAAAGAAAATCAACAAAAAGTGAACACACAGAGGGCAAGTTTGGAACATGAAAAGAATGATTATAAATGAAAAATATTGATCCAAAAAAAGTTTGAGCATGGTGGGTGGACACCTTGCAGTCAAAATTAGTAGATTGCAGTACCAGAATGCCACATTTCATGAGGAATGACCCCCTAGGCACCCTTTTTAAACCACCAAGTTGTCATTTTTTTTCCAAATTTTCACTTTTTATCATTCATTCCAGATCTCATACTATCACTTTGGAGATTTTTCCTTTTCCTGAAAGAATTATTCAAGCTGTCAGTTTTTGTGATTTTCTCCTTTTTACTTTTTACAAATTTTATAATCTTGTTTATCATTATTATTTTTTCATATTCATTCTTGGAGTCTCATTTTTCACCATTCCACCAACTATTGTGACTTGAAATTTTTGGGTTCCTGGTGTGGAGCTCAAAACAGATGGCTATAAACATCTGGGAGGAGACTGTACAATAGTGCACAATCTCCAGAACATGTACATATGTATCATCCGGAAAAAAAAATCTGGAATACCAATGAAGTAGGTATCCCTATGCAGTCTCCCAGTTGTATCCAAAAAAAATACTACACAAGAATGCAAAACGTCTTCATGGATGGTAAAAAAATTGATCTGACAAGCTAGTTGAACCGATTCAGCAAGTAGCATCTTACTGAACCAGTCCGAAGGTACAAATCTCACTGAACTTGAACTGGTTCAAAGGCATTCCGTTCATGCTGGATGAAGGCCTGGTTAGATGTTTTTCATCAATCTGGGAGGAGTTCACCCAATTTCTATAATTGATTGGAAGCAGGATACTCCCAGGCGCTCCCTGGGTCAGTTACCTCCTTGCCCAATACAGTGGAGGACTTCCTGTCAGCATTTAGAGTGCTTTTTAAGCCCTCCCCAGTTCTAAATTAACACCCCAATCATAATTCTAACCAGCTCACATGAGAGCTATCTTCACAAGGCTTGTGAAAAAACCATTTTTATACCAAAAATTACGATCTAGGGGGTGTAAATTAAATTCTGGGAGGGTTGTAGACCGCAACGGGAAGTCATCCAGTTGTGTTTGGCCAAGAGGCAAATAGGAATATAGTTGTAGCCACAGTTAGCTGAGCCAGTTCAACCAGGAGGTTACAAGTGTCTGGTTATTGACAGCAAAGGCTGACTGATATTGTATTTGCCTTGGAACTAGCTAGCCAAGTATTCTTCAAGATACTGGGCAATGTCTGGCCCATAAAAGGTCCTTTGTTTATTCTAGTCCTCCTCCTCAGCCTTTGTGTAAATCCACTTAAAACATTAAAATCTGATCTCCTTTTCTTATCCTTCATTCATCCACCAATATCCCCTCATCAAACCTACCCTCATGCCAGTCTGTCCAAAATTCAAGACCTTTTCACAAGGACTATTATTTGAAGAAACCTGCCGCAGATGCATCAATGATTATCTTAATTCCGATCAAATTACTACAACTCATGTGTGTTTGACTACTCGCCCCCTGAACAGTCTCAGCTGAGTTCCCGCCACTTCTCGTCTTACCTCAGCACCCGAAGAATCAACTGGAACCCACATGTACTATGAAAGGCTAGCTCAAGAATTGCTTTCAGGCAAAAAAAAGAGCACCCACCTCCCAAGAAAACCCAGCAAGGTGGTTCAAAACAAAGCATGTCTCCAGAAAGTGACAAACAATGGCTGAAATTTGGTCTACTAGTATATTGTAAGGGTTGGATCCCTTCACTGTTCTTTAGTGTATGAAAGGCTCAGAGGGACGGCTGTTAACAGCTTGAACTTTCTAGAACCAAACTGTAGTAGAATTTTATTTCAAAAATACTAGACGGAAGAGAGGAGAACTCTTGTTATCAGTATAACAATCAATCATTCTAACATAGAAAAGGAAATGAACCAGAAAAAATATAATGAAATAAACTTTTACTTACCTAGACGGAAAAGAGGAGAACTCTGCCGTCTAGGTAAAGGGGAAAGAATTGTCCTAAGTACAATAGGGTTGGATTATGTAGTCATACGTGCCAGGCCTTGTGAAACCCAGTGGAGGTGGGGTTCTCACATATATATTGATGGGATATTACAGAAAATTAATTTGGGAAGAATTCTGAACAGAACTTTTGGCCGCCATCAATGTTGAAGCCTTTACTGATTCCCCATTACAGTAAACATTGCTTGCAACAGGTGAAACCCGGCTAACAAGACAAGAAGATGTCATCAATCTTGCAAACAGCAACCCATACACCAAACAATACTGGAAGCCTATCAACTCAAATAATGCAGCTTGGTCAGCCTGTTTGCCCATCAATTGGCTCAAACATCAACATCTGGACTGAAGGAAAACATCTTGTCCTTTATGCAAATAATTCAACTCCACCTCCTGAAGCAGAAAATTGGCCAATCTGGAAAACATCTCAGCACATCAATGCCATCAGCCTTCCCTTGAACTTCAAGGTTAATTGAAACAAACATTTTGGAAAGGGAAGCTCACTAGAGATGGTCTCCGGGTATCCGTTGCGGATACCCGTTATCCGCTGGCAGATACCCGCCCGCTGAAGCGGATACCCGCCAGCGGATGCGCCACTTCCCGCAATTTACCAGCGGATACCCGGGTATCTCAACAGATACCCAAGGCCAATGGCCGGCTGGAAGGGTTTCCTTCCAGTCGGCAAGGTGAATGTACCTTGTTGACTGGAAGGGTTTCCTTCCAGCCGGCAAGGTACATGTACCTCGTCGCCTGGGAGAAAACCCTCTCAGTCGGCGAGATACATGTACCTCGCCGGGGTACATCCTCTCCGACTGGAAGGAACCCCTTCAAGCCGTTGCCTCCACGACCTTTTAAACGGTGGGTATCCGAGGATACCCCCCGGGATACCCGCAGCGCCAGCGGATACCGGCTGGCGGGTGCGGATGCGGGTTTGGAATGCCTACTTCCCCGAAAAAGAGGCCGATATCTGCATCCACGCGGGAAATCCGGATGCTCTGGGGCCATCTCTAAAGCTCACACACAAGCTATCCAGCAAAAGTGCAGTCTTTTTCCAATGGGACTGAAGTGATTACTAATTGGGTTGCTGAATTCTGGTTTGCAGAAAAAACTCCGAAAGTCAACAAATATGCAAGTGATGCATTAGTGTACCAATGTTTTGCAATGCACCTGGAAGCGTACAAAATTGCCCTCAGAGACTGCAAAAAGGTAGAAGCAAACATTAAAAAAAAACCAATCAAATTCAGGTGAGCTTTTTCAGAACTTTTCTACAAGAAATTTAATTATCATTACTAATGTTTTCTTATAAGCTTGTGTGCCATTGTGTAGTTTTTGTAGGTGATATATTGAATCCCAAAGAGGTTTACTTCTTTGAGCACAAATTATCTGGCCACTTCGTGAAGTATTCTTCCAATGTTAACTTTAATGTTGAGAAAGACCAGCCAGGGATGGACCATGAGATGTTTTCAATAATGAATGCATTAACACTGTCAGACACTGAGACACTAGCCCAGGTGTCCACAATAGAATGCAACCCCTTTGGGTTACATATTGTGTTTGTAAGAAAGGTTGGACCCGTTCGTGTTTTGAATTTTTTGTAATCTTTGAAAAGTATGCATTTAGGTTTTTTTTTTTTGGCTTTTATTGTGCCTAAAACCCTGAGTGTCAAGGAACCTTCACAACAAAGTTCATGCATTCTCATGCATGAACTTTGGTATCTTGCAACCATCATCCTCTGGACCTAATTCAAATTGTGATACCCGATGAGATTACATTCCCCACCTTGACTCAATCCTTTGTTAGCATTTGGTCAACCAACGATTTACACGGCTCCCCCTCCCCCCGCTCAGAATTTCCCTATCAATCCACGATGCCTTATTTTTACTACCCTCCCAACGTCAAGGTCATGGCGGTTTGTATGACTTTAGAAGGTAAAACTAGAGATAATATCCGCCAGGCACTGGGCTTTCAGATATCCAAACAGTCTTTCAACCGCTGGCGAGAACATTACGAGCAAACTCGTCGTGTGATCCGAAACCCTGAAGAATACGAGCGCCTTGGACGTCCAAGAACCTTAACATCCGAGGATTGCACCTTTATGCTCCAGTTGGTGCGCAACGAACCGGGTCTTTTTTTGGATGAAATTCGCGAGAAGGTTTATGATGCAACCGGAACGCTACTCAGTGTGGAGGCGGTTCATGAGAATCTCGTCAATAACTTGTTGATTACCTTGAAGAAGGCCGAAACGTTGAACTCTCGAAAGTGCTTGCTGAAGAAGTATCGCTATGTTGCACGGATGTCATTCTATCCGGCAAACTATCTGGTGTTTACAGGTGCGCTATTTTTTGTAATTGTCTTCTAGCACCTTGGACTGACTGTTGGCTTTTTCACAGATGAAAGTGCCATTTGTGATCGTGCATTGCTCCGCACTCATTCGCGATCGCCTTGTGGAACTCCTGCGGCTCGATACATCATCCGACAGAATCCGGAACGATTCAGCATCCTTCCAGCCATCTCGATAAACGGTATAATTGCCTTGAAGGTTCGCGATGATACTTACACTGGGATTAAATTTGAACATTTTCTTAAATGGACGTTGGTGGGCCCTTTTTTGTCTTTTTTTTTCTGCTCATTCCTTACCCTTTGGGTGGCATATTAATAACAGTATATGCCTTTTTCCTCATCTGCATTGGGCCCCACAGCTCCCACGCATGAACAAGTACCCCTCTCCCAATTCAGTTCTCGTTTGCGATAACGCTCGTATCCACCGTGGTCGTTACATCGAGGCGATATGTGACAAATTTGGTGTGCGGGTGATCTATCTACCGCCGTATTGCCTGGAGCTCAATCCTATCGAGCTCTGTTTTGCGAATGTGAAGAGTCATCTTCGAAGGACACAGGCGCTATCGGTGACCGACCAGCCGGAAGCGCTAATACACCGCGCATGTGTGAAAGTAATGACGGCAAGTCTCTGCCATAAATTGTATCGCCATTGTGGCTATGTTGTACCATCCCTTGAACATCCATCTCGGCCCCGGCGTTTTCAATGACACTTGTGTTTCTGTTGCCTATTTTTTAATTCCCTCTTTTTTTTTCCTCTGCCTAGCAATATTAATCTGTGTCTTGACCGAATATTGAACCAATGATCTGCTGATCAGCCTATTGAACCGGAGCCGCCCCCGATCTTTAGGGGATGTGTTGATCACTTGTGAGCCAATGTGACCCGCATGAACCGAACAAGCTGATCATCTTGGATCAGTTGTAGGATATGAAGCAGGTTACTAACGATCCTGCTTCATTGTGTCTGATTGATCTGAGCACCTACTCCTTCCCCCACCTCGACTCCATTGCCCACCTGGCTATAAAGGCAAGCGAGATAACTTCCTGTCTGTCTTTCCCCATCCGTCCTCATCCTCAGACTTTCATCAGACCCCGATCACTCATCATCAATTCCAATCCCATCTGGTTTCTTGTCTTTTATCTTGAACATGTCCCCTACCACATCGACCGATTCCTCACGGGTCCTTTGTCCTGAGACCCAATCCCCCCAGACGGCGCGGCCCGAGGTGACTACTGTGATGGTCAAGACCCCACGTGTTGCGGCTATCTCCCTTGACTATGTCCTGTACATTGAACCTGCTAAAAACGGTCCTTTGAGCAGGCGCCAGGGTCTTTCCCCCATCAAATGGGAGAAGATAGTTCCTAGTCCTCGCCCCTCGCCAATGGAGGCGGACATTGTGTCGTTCACCTGGCCCCAATTTCAAACGGAAGCCATCTTACATTTGGCCAATCAGCGCGAGGCTCTACAAGCTTTTCTGTTCAAGAATCTTGACGAGGGGAACCTGCTTTGGCTCGCGTACATCAAGGACCATCACGACTACGGTCTTGCAGTCCAGATCCACGGCGCCACAGATTTTCTCAACTTCTCTAATGCTGCGTACAATGCTTTCACCAGGGGAAATTTTAGGGCACTGGATTTCCAGTGACTGCTTGTCTCACCTGAGTCACCATGGAAGACTTGTATTTTTTCTTAAAAATCACTGGTAGGATCATTAAAGAAAAAGAGCCTCACAATAAAGTCACAAGGCTTTACCCTGAATGTATTGCTAGTTTCCCAGAAAAGATTGTGAATGTCCTTTGAAATTCCCTGTTTTCAACACAATATAATCTTGATGGCATCAGCAGTTTTTTTTCTATATTTGAATCAAAATCAAATCTGGTGAAGCTCTTCTTTTTGTGTTTTTAGCCACTGCAGAAATATAATTAGAAATTCCCAGAAAAAGTTAAAAAAAATTCAAATTTATGATTTCTCTTTCTAAAACCATCTACAAGGGCTGTTGATCAGATGGGACGTGGTTGACACATGGTTGTCCCCCACAAGTTTAGTTCTTTTATGATTCTGATGTAAAGAAACACCAGAATTTTAAGATGATTCCCTGGATGTCAGCACTCATTTCAGAATGAATATTCCAGAATGGAAATAAAATTAAATCTTATATTATCCCAGATGTTCAGAAGGCCCCACAGGCTGTAGGCCAGATGATTCCACCAAACCTCATGTCAGTCATTTTGGATTGTATTCAATCCCCCATGAGCTTATGCTGCATTGGGAGGGGTTCCTCTCAACAATCTGGTTCTATTTACAGCTTACCGCAAGGGAGTATTTACTTCCAAAAAAGCTGGTATCAGATGGAATTTTCTGGGAGAGGCTCCTCTCAAATAACTGTATTGTGTCGCAGTTCACCAGGAGGAGGTCTTCCCAACAGGTTGGCTTTAAATCCTACATGTGTTCTGATAGTCCCTTCCCAAAAACTGGATGATGTAACAACTTTTTGGGAGAGACTCATCCCAGAAAGCTGTATTTGATACCAGGTTTCCAGGAGCAACACATGTCCAGCTATTTGGTAGGAGCTCTGTGCAACCTGGGATAAGACCCAGCTTGTTGACAGGATGGCATGGCAAGCTGGGTTTGATACCATCTCCAGACAAGCTTGATGGAAGGAGCCCCCAATAAGCTGGGTTCAAGTGGCACAGTCTCATGTTGGATTGTGCATAATCTGATGTGAGACTGGGCCACACCCCACTGATGAGCTGGGATTAATCCCAGATTGTTGGGAGGAGCTCCTGGCAACCTGGAATCAAACACAGCTTGTGTTAGAATGGTAAAACTAGTCACATTTCAAGTCAGAATCATGGTCAGACAACACAATACAAGGGACAAGAGTGAGCTGCATTACCTAAAGGGCAGGGGTATACAGACAAGAAATAACGGAAAGAAAAATATAGACACAGGAAGGTCCTTTAATCAAGTAATATAACAATAAATGTGAAGCTCATGTGTGAAACGAGAAAAAGAGAATATAAGTTGTTGACAAGAAGTCGCTTATGCAAGATAGGAAAAATAGAAGGGGTAAGAATATGAAAGCGTGGTACAAGGTAGTTGCAAGTTTAATTGTTGAAATGTCGTGAAGCCAGTGAAATCTTACCTGACACGGATTCTGAAACCTAAACTCAACTCAATCTGATCTACGGCTCACGCTCTCTCTCAGAAGTACCAGTACTGAAGATCATCAGTAATTAGCCACTTCACTTTGGACTTTGACTCCTCACTCTGGCTCTGTGACAACTCTGCTCCTCAATCCACTCATCACACTTTCCCTCCTTCTTCCTTGCTCCAACCTCCCACTTCCTTTTTCTTCTTTCTCTTTCTATTTTCCTTTATCTTTGTCCTGCTCCTTGTCTCCCTTCTGATCAGCAACTCGCCCAAAACTACGCTTCACTTGTGTCCAATCCGGTGAGAATCAACATTGTCAACCCTGCTCAAATCATTTGCTGACTCTTTTCTTTTAGTTGTCTGCTTCCCACTTCCGTTGTCTAGCTTCCTTTAAAAAAAATTTCTTGTTGTCTGTCTATTGTCAAAAAGACAATTGGGGTTGGTTTCTTTGATCTCTCATTTTCTGTCTCATGTCATTTCTCTTTTTCTTCTTCTAACTCTTGTCTCTTTTAGCTCTGGTTCTGCTTCTAGCAATAAAAATCTAGATTTATCATTAATTGATGAGGAGGAAATATGGTGTTTAAGCCTTGGGTTGGTTTGATCTGAGTTAAGGGTTTTATGAGTGGAGTTGCAGATGGGGACAAAACAAGGCAGAGCAATAAGTTTATCTTTTATAGTTTTTTAAGCACCAATCATCAATGCTGTTCATCTGCTGACTCACAGGTATGTTTGTTCAAAGTTTTTCATGCCTATGCATCCATCAAGGAGGCTTGCATGGTATCTTTCTCCTGGTCAGGGTCTGGAAGTGTTCCCTCCTGTGCTTCAATATTTGTAGCATTGGTATTCAGGGTATAGGTTATGGGTTAGTCCAGTTGTGAATACACAGGTTGGGTACAAGGGTCTAGCCTGGTTTGGTTCTGAACAAAATGAGATGTTTTTGACTTACAATCAGTGATCTGATTGAGTAGTGTCAGTTGCACTGAGCACCGCGTCCGGGTCTGAATCATGACAGCTTGTCGGGCGGAGCTGGGTTTAAACACAGCTTGTCTGGAGGAATTCCTGGAAAGCTGGACTTAAAGACAGCTTGTGGGGAGGAGCTCCTGGATAGCTGGGTTGAAACACCACTCATTTAGAGGAGCTCCTGACCAGTTGGTTTTCAACCCAGCTTTTTGGGAGGAGATCCTGGCAAGCTAGATTTAAACCCAGCTTGTTGGAAGGAGGCCTCCCCCCAACGCGGCACAGACTCATATCGCTGCACGAGATGATGTAACTGATTAAGAGGCGGCGGCGTTGTTTGGTGCTGCTGACACTTCTCGATCCGATCGCTGATTTGAACGATGAAAAACATCCTATGTGGTGAGAAATCAATACAGCTAGACCGTTGTCCCCAAAGTGTGGCTTATCTATCTCGACCTACTATAACTTTTTCTGTGGAA